GAACCCACGCCCTGACAAACTAATTAAAAATATCGTGGGGCGGGGCAATTTATGGAGATCAAGTAGCCACCGCGGTGGCAGGACAACAAACCAAAGGACAAACAGTAGAGGACACAGCTCCATTGAGAACAGGCAGAATTTTCGGGGTTGTTGGCCAACCAAATGACATAAGTAAGTGGAAAAGTGCCTCAAGAAAGCCTTCAAATGAATTGTATTTTAATTGTGCGGCACAAAATTGTAAAAATACGATGGCCGTCGACCTTAACCATTCCGCTGAATCTTTCCGGAGTCTCAGGACTATTAATTGCCAGGTGAAAGGAAAGACGGCAATGAAATGAATTAATTTAAACTGGGCATCGGTGGGTGGTTATTTCAATGGCCAGTCCTAGTAGCCCATAATGTTATACAATTAACAGTTCACTTGCTGGGAAATTAAACGCAATGTTGTGAGTGGAATTTTAATCTCTGAGTTGCACAAAATTTACGACTTGACCTGGTTTATGGAGGGGCATGCCAAGCAGTTTATGAAAGTTTTACGTCAATTTGAACTACAATGTTTTAAAGTCCCTGTTAAGTACTTCCTACCTTTCGAAAATATTTTCAATGCAAGGAAATGTTTCTGCATCAAGCTGATTTATTTATTCTGATATTTTCTCATTTTTTTGTTCGCATTTTGTTGGCATTGCAACAGCCATTTGTGCTTTTATCCGCTCAACGGCAGTCAGTTGTCACTTGTTTCCCTAACAATGATAAAGTCGCAAAAAAGAACGAACTTTTAAGCTTTTTTAATGCAATGTCAATAGGGAGAAGATACAATGTCTTTGCTTAGTCCCGGCAATTACATTTGTTCTTGTTTCTGTATTTTTTTTACCGATTTTCTTTTGTTTGTAAAACAATTCTGAACTTTAATTAAGCATTTTTTATTGGCAACTTGCAAAAGTGCGGAATTTCAAATTTTCATACTTAATGAAGATTAAAATTATTTCTTTGCCTTTCGCAGTACTTCCACATCCGCAACGCATTATTTCTTGCATGGTATTCTTCTCTTACATGCAAATCAGAATTCTAAGATAAAGGATAACCGCTCTGAGCAAAAGTTCTAATTAGCTTTTCGACTAGGTATTTTATTCACAAGGTATTCAAATGTTGTGTATCTAACAATTGTAAAATAACTTTAATCTTGCCAAAGCAAAATTTACTTGAATAGTTTTTCATATTGGTAAGAAATCTTTTATGACGCTTTAGTTTTACAAGAAAATTCTATTATTAAAATAAACAAGTTTTATTTTAGTTGGCAATTATTATTTTATAATTATATGTATCATCTAATCGAAACCTTCTTAATTTCTAAAAATATTCTTCTTTATCCTGAGTGGCCCTTTTTATTTACCTGAAATGCAATCATGGCCCTTAATATGTCAACATGGCCAAATTTATGCGCCCGATAAGTGTGCCTGGCCCAATATTTGCCGAACCCAAGTAAATGCGATTGGGAAATATTTGGCTGCTTGTCGCCATGCTAACATAAATTAAGTTGCTGGAAATCTACGTAATTTACGCACAAACATTTCTGTCTTGACTATGTGGGCGATATGCCTGTGCTTTTCCTTTAGTTGTTTATTTTGCGGCTAATGTAATTTTTGGCAAATAGTCATCTAATTTGTTTGCCCTTACCCGTCTTTCTCGGCGCGTATGCATTTAATTTATGGCCGAGCTTGGCTGGTAAGTGATTTGCATGTGAATGCGGGAAATGCCTTCCAACACATGTTATAATAAGACACTGTGAGATAATTTGAAATTTCCAAATTAAAGTTTTTTGGAAACTTTTCTTGAAACACACTTTGGGATCTAATTTAATACAATCCACTTCATTACATGAATTATTCAGTCTTATTTATACGATATTGTACACTCATGTGCTGGAGAAATTTAATTGAAGTTAATAAAAGTGTGTAAAAGAATGTCATAATACATTTTCTTCAAAGAGTGTAAATAATTTTAAGTAGAATAAAACAGTTGCAGCATACTTAAAGGCATTCTTAAAGCTTTCTGTTGTGGAACGTTTCTCTAAGTACATAACTGGCAGTACTATTCGGCTTAAGCTGTTAGACGACAAGCGGGTGTCTAACACCCGAAAACCGACAAATTAAATTAACTGCCGACCTTAAAGACTTAACCCTTTCGGATCGGAAGGCATTTGGAGATGAGGAACGCTATGAACCCCTGAGGCGCAGATCTCAGCCCAACTCGGCGAAATGTGACAGACTAACTCCGGTTGACACATGACAAAGGTGGCCTTTGAATCAGGGTCCTCGCATACAACTCGCTGACCACAAAAGAGGCGGCCCCACTCACAAATGCAATTCCTGCCTAGATTTATGGCACCCGCTGGCTGTAAGCTGGGAAATGGGAAATGGGAAAACTGAAACGGAACTTGAACCTTTTGCCGGTTGAAGCCAAAAGGAGGAAAAGCTCATCACGCACTCGGCTCGAACGTGCGACTCGGCCCAGATGACATGTTGATGCGGCGCACCATAAGTTGGAGTTCAGCACGTGGCCCCATCTGACGCACTACATTCAGCTGAAATTAAGAACGACTATTCCGTTCCCCGGAAAGCAATTGAAGTGGAGTCCCGGGGGGAGGAATAAGATGCTTAAACACTTTGTAGCACCAACCGGCTAGTGGATCATGCAAATCATCACGCAAATAAAATGCTCGTAATGCTAAAAGCGACACAAACAATTTAATAAAATCCAGCTTAAAGGAAATTTACATGCTTCACAGCGCCCGCAGTTATTTTACCCGAATCGTCAGACTTTCGAGAAATGTCTTCTTTGTCTGCTGCAAAGTTCATAGTGAAAGTTTTTTTGCATGCCATACACGACTTTCGGCTTGTTCTTTATTTTTCTTTTTATCCTTAGACGTCTGTGCCTCAGTTGGCTCGTTTAACTTTTGGGCAAAGTTTGTCTGCCGACATAGTTTCTTTAACCTTGTCCTTCAACCGTGCTGCTCTTTAATCGAATTTGTTTTTACAATGCCGTTGGTCTAAACAAATGGTAATAAGCTCAAGTCTTTGACCGTTTGTGTCCAGCACGCAAACATATTATGCAAATGCTTAAGGCCTGGCTATGAACTTGGACAAGGCTTAGATTTAAAATGGTTAAAGTAATCAAGGGTGAGCAGTTTTTATTTAACACTCCGAAAAATGTTTACCACACAAAACAACTGTGTTACATAATTGCATTGTAAGATGAATTTAAAATCACGTGAAAAACATCCCACCGAAAAGTTCATTTTACACAACTGCATAACATATGATATATAACCATATAAGGAATATAATTTATAGTGCTGTTTATATTTAACAAGAAGAAATCAAGAAAGGGAGCAAACTTCGACAAGCTTCGATGCTTTAGAACAAAGAAGCTATGCTATAAGACACAGTCCGATTTTTAAGAAAGTAAAACAATAAATATAAAAATAAAACTTTTAAAAATTACTATTTTGTGGAATATAGTGGTATGTGTTAAAAATCAACGAAGATCCTATATTATTTCAGTTTTTTCCCGATTTTAAACTGAGGGAATAGATTGCTTAGAAACTGATGAACGGCATGCTAGATCGACTCGCCTGCTGATTATGAAATCTATATACTTTATAGGGACTTAAATTTTTATACACTCTGCAAAGGTAAACAAATTTATAGTTTTGTTGATCAGAAACATCCCGAATGTGTTTATAAGACGTTTAATACATGTTTATCAAATATAACATAAATTTTATTTTTTGAAGAAATTCTCTTACTTTCTTATCGACATTTTTAACAACATGAACATTATGAACATTTGATTAAACTAATTTCTCTGATTGTATTTTCGCCAACATGCAGATGTTTTAAAGCCCACTTCGTTATTCAAATGGGAATCAAACGAACTCCAGCCATATGCAAATACCTAAAGTCTGGCGAACGACAATGAAATCTTATTAAAGGGCAAGCCAATCTGCATCACCCTCTCAACTTTTCTCCGACCCTTACTTCCAACTGCCAACGAACCGAATTTAAATCATACAAAGAAGAAATATTACACCTGCGGCGAAAATTTCATTTTTGGCCCACCTTCGAGCTGGAATCAAACATAAATTTTTGCGTGGGAGGAAATAAAAAAGCAATCACAAGAGTCAAAGTGTGGAGGAAAAGTTGAACTAAATATGATCAAAATTTGAATACATTTCTCAACGATTATAGGTGGCCGAAATGGAGCTGTATAAATGCAAATATGCGTGTAATCAGCTTATTTACGCATGTTTATTTTGTCGAGAGCCTGTCGCCCGACAATGATATTCAATTTGTAAATTATATTTTCCCCGCCTTACCCATGGTGGTCAAACGGGGAAAAGTTGTGAGAAAACTTAGCAACGCACTTGAATTTAATGTAAAACCTGGCAACAGTTTGAAAAAAATTAAAAATATTTTAGCAAAAACTCGACTGCTAATGGCGGATGGCTTAATTTATATATATTTTCACAAGTTTAGTTGCTGAGAAAACCTGTGCCAACAGCTGCCTTTCACTATATTCATCCTTTTTATTCGAAAAAGCACGCTCCCTTTTGTCATCCTTCATTTTTTTCGAGCCTTGCACCCTGCAATCCCACATGGCGTATGCGCAATGCCTTTGTTCCCTTTAACGCGACTTTTTTTATTTCCAGCTCTGGGCAAAGTTATTTACCGTAAAAATATAACTTTTTCTTTCCGCTTATTTTCCTTTCTCTTTCTACTTTTTTTTAAGTGGTTGTTTGTTTATGGAATTTTCATCTGTCTCTTTTTGTAGTTCCTTTTGGGATTTTAGCTGGGACATAAATCTTTTGCTAGGTTGCAGAGATTTTTATGTAGACACAACAGACTCAAAATTCTAGAAAAACTGTCAGTACTGCACATCGCGTATCATGTAAGGTCCCGCAAAAACAACAATGTCCCAGTAAATAAAGAAAAGTACGTCCATAGAGTTTATATAAGCCGCTCAGTAAGGTTTATTTTGAATTTCCTTTTCGTTGGCATTTCTCATAAAGCCGCACTCTGTCTCATTCGGTGATAGTCCACTCCATAATACCGCACTGTAGTCCAGTAGTAGAGTACGTCTCCTTCCTTCAGCTGCACATCTCGATTGGTATACGTCCAGCGCTCATCCTCACCTGGCCGAATAATGTCCTCTGCCCAGGTCTGATCCCGCAGACTGACGATAGGTTCGTTGAGTCTGCCGTGAAATGCGAAAAGTAAAATTCCCTCCTCATCGGGAATAGATACTTCGAAGCCCCTTTTCGCAGGCCGAGTGATCCGGGCCTCTGGCACTTGATAACCCGACATTGTCTTTTCAACTGCACGCCAACCACCCAGCTCTCAATTATATGAACAAATTAATCAGTCCAAATAAAATTGTAAAGGAGCAACTCTCTAGTGAACTCTCTCTATAAACAAATTAATCAGTGCAAATAAAGTTGTAAAGGGGCAACTCTCTAGTGATAAGATACCGTTTATGCATTGCACTTCATATCGCCCACAGCAAGAAACTGCAATATTTTAACAAGACCAGTATATCAACTCAAGTAATCATACCGATCAAAAAATACTTTTTTTGTAAAGCCTAGTACTCAGATCGACAAACGAGTACGCTAGCGTAAAAACTTTTATCTTTCCAGGTGACCAAAATGTCGAGAGTTCATCAGAATTAAGCGTGCTACGGTCGTACTCTCAATCCGCTGGGTTTGTTGTTAAACAGTTAAAATTCAAATATCGTATTCGCGGGAAAGAGCCTTTAATGGAAATTATGAACTACCTTGGCAAGACAAGTCTGGCGCTGTACAATAAAATTAAAAAACAATACAATTTAAATTTAACAGTTGTTTTTTTAATTTACTGATAACTATGTGCTAACTTAAAGTTCATAGCTGCACTGTTATTGTGTTTTTTCGTACATTTTTGACCTAAGAAACATTTTGCTCTGACAAGAAGCACTCCAGATAGTATTAATGTTATATTGTCCTCACATGTAAACTCCTGCAATCTACTTTTTCGGGTATTTTGATTTTTTCCCTCCATTTTTTAAAATGATCAGTGAGAAGCGCACGCCAAAAGATTAAATTTTTTAATTTTTGCGCTAGGGTTCACCAAAAGTTCATTTCAGGTGGTTGGCAACGCGAAGTAATTTTCTGGTATTTTTTCGTCGATCTGAGTACCGAGGTGAAAATAAAGCCTGACGAAAAGTGAACGCCAGCTGTTTGCCTCTCGCTCTCTCTCATGACTGGCGTACAGTTTTCGTCGATCTGAGTGCTAGGCTTAACTCATAAAAACTGACAAACCTTTTAATACCTTTGCAAAGGTTCAAAAGCGATCACCTATTTATATAAATAATACAGGTTGGTCCTCTTAAGACTTAAGCCCTTTTTTGGTATTTTCGATATGATTTTCCAAGCCTGTTACAGTCTTTTTAAATTTAAATTTCTTAGTCTTGCAATATGACTAAATTAAATAACTCTTTTTGAAATTTAAAGTTTTCATTATAATAAATATTTATTTTTATACCCTTGCAGAGGGTATTATAATTTTGGTCAAAAGTGTGCAACGCAGTGAAGGAGACATCTCCGACCATATAAAGTATATATATTCTTGATCAGGATCACCTCCTGAGTTGATATAGCCATGTCCGTCTGTCCGTCTGTCCGTATGTCCGTATGTCCGTCTGTCCGTCTGTCTGTCCGTCTGTCCGTCTGTCCGTCTGTCTGTTTCTACGCAAACTAGTCTCTCAGTTTTAAAGCTATCGAATTGAAACTTTGCACACACCCTTCTTTCCTTTGCACGCAGTATATAAGTCGGAACGGCCGGGATCGGCCGACTATATCCTATAGCTGCCATATAACTGAACGATCGGAAATGCCATAACTTTGGTGTTTTTAAAGTTAGGAAGTTGGGATTTTCTATGGGTTTTACATTTGGCCAATCAATTTGACGTACCAAATTTTATAAGGATCGGCCGACTATATAGTATAGCTGCCATATAACTGAACGATCGGAAATGCCACAACTTTGGTGTTTGTAAAGTTAGGAAGTTGGGATTTTCTATGTGTTTTGTATTTGGCCAATCAATTTGACGTACCAAATTTTATAAGGATCGGCCGACTATATCCTATAGCTGCCATATAACTGATTGATCGGAAATGCCATAACTTTGGTGTTTGTAAAGTTAGGAAGTTGGGATTTTCTATGGGTTTTATTTTTGGCCAATCAATCCGACCTACCAAACTTCATAAGGATCGACCGACTATATCCTATAGCTGCCATATAACTGATTGATCGGAAATGCCATAACTTTGGTGTTTTTAAAGTTACGAAGTTGGGATTTTTTATGAGTATTAAGAATGCATCATATGAATAATTTTGGAAAATATAATTTACAGAGTATTCTGCAAGGGTATATCAACTTCGGCTCCGCCCGAAGTTAGCTTTCCTTTCTTGTTTTATCTATCACTGTTTATCAAAAAATCCCTCACACATTTTTGGTTGTTTACCATAGCAAAAATGGATGATTATATTGTCCATACATATATCCACCCCACAATCGAGGGACAAAGAGGTGCAGTTGTTGAGTTTTTCCACTCTGATTTCATTGTTTACCGGCTTGTTAATGACTAATAGTTAATGATATATACTCTGAGGGTTTAAGACACTTTGCTGATTTTGTTCAGAGAAATTTTTTTGTTTGCCATCGATTGTTTATTGCAAGCGATTATTTCACAACCGAATGCACCCGAAAGGTCTAACTAAATAAGTCTCCTGTTTAATTGGAAAACATTGTCAGGCCATTCTGTTGCTGTTAGCAGCTTCCATCCAATACCATCTCAGCCCATCCTATCCCATCCCATCCATCCGGTTCCTTACCATCGCCACACTTGACTGCTGATTAATTAAGTAAGGCAAATCAAGCGAAGAACTAGGAAATAGGTCAAGAAACGGGATCTGTTAATTAATTTTGCTTAGTGCATGTGTCGGCTTTGACTTGGCTAATGGCGGCTGACTTCATTTGGCTTTAAAGCTCGAATTGAAAAAGAATGGAAGCAAAGGCAAACAGCGACCATCCCCATTGAATGCTGAACAAAAGCCACAATGGCCTCCCCCGATGCTTATGCCCATCTGATAGTCTTCATTATGGCCATTCCTGCTGTTGTTTTTATTGGAATCTCTTGTTGTGTGGCGCCACTCAAATGTTGCGTATGCGCCCCGTATGCTCTCTATGGCCAAGGAAGACAAGGCATTTGTATAAAACACATAAAAAAATGTTTGAACAGTCAGCCGTCCAGGGGCGTGGCTTAGGTTCAAGTTTGAGATTTAGTAGAAAATCCCCTCTTGTGCGTGGTCCACGCTCCTGCCAGGGACAAACTACATTTGCCGGGCGTACACTATAAATAAGCGCCACATGCTCAACATTTTTATGCTGTTTTATTGCACTGCTCTAAAAGGCAAGACCGGAATTGAACCGAACCCAAGCCTACAATTCTGTGTATCCGCACATGTCGAGCTCGTCGGCTCTGCTGGCAAAACCATATTATGTGCTACATTTAACGCCCTCCGATAGCCAAACGCTTTTTTTGAAGCCATCAGTGCAGCCGACTAAAGATCAATCAAAGAAGCTAAAACAATGGGCACGGCTATTGCATTTAATTATTTGAATTTACAGCTTGGGCAATATCAAATATTTCTCTTTCATTCATGTTGATCTCAAAGCATTATTTACTTTAAAATGCAACGAAATTTGAACGAACAAAGTTTATTTAAAGTAGCTTAAACTTATTTCCATTCAGAGAATTATTTTTGAAATTCTTTATATAAATATATTAATTATATATTATAATTCTACTTTACCACAAAAAAAATAAAAGATGGGCAAACAAATTTTTAAATTATTTAAAAAATTTTACAATGGCCAAAATTTGGTAGGGATAATAATTATTTACAAAATTAAATCAACTTGTGAATTTTCAGATTCTCTACCATCATTTTATTAACCACTGGAAAAAGCCAATTTTCTTATAGAATGGCAACACTGTTGCCCAACTTCCTTTGGCCAAGACATCAGAGGCGAAAGCTGAGCAAGCAAAGCTGCGTATTGTGTCAGTCTTGTCTGCTGCTTTCGACTCTTCAATTCCCACTCAAACACAAACCCCAACCAACACTGCTGGCTTTCCCCATGGCAACTGCAATAAAATTAAAGTTGTTTTGTACGGTGCCCAAAGCCTTTCTTTTTCCATTTTCCTTAGCTGAAAATGGTACCTGCGGTTAGTGTTTTTGCCCCTTCAAAGCTCTTGTTTTGCCCCATTTTTTGGCCCCCTTTTTTCGCTCTGCTGCAAATCGATGAGCAGTCGTAAAATGCTCCCAAATTTATTGCATACTTTTGTGCGTGCAAATTGCGTGCGGAATGCTCGAATGTGTGTGCCTTAGAAGTTTTACACACTTTTGATTGGCTTTCGAGCAGCTTAAAGTTTAATAATAAATCGTTAAATCGTTTAACGTAGTGTGTGCTTGCGTGATTTAGTTCCATGGAATATGTTAAATTTACTAATTTAGTCATTTACAACGAAAACAATTGGATTTTAAAACCAGTTTATTATTTCCAATGCGCAGAAACAGACGGAACATTTAATTCATTTTAAAATTAAAACCAAACATTCAACGCACTCTCACCGCATGGAAATTGAAATAATTAATTACATTGCTTTATAATCTCGCAGTTATTAAATCAGGCTCGGTAATAAAACACCTTCTGCCGACAAAACGCACGGCCAAGAACCACATCAAATTCAATGGCCTGGCCACATCGCAACAGTTAGAACGGCAGACAAACAATGGCCAGAAGGAGCCACTTAAAGACCGGCCAAATGGCCAAGTGCGCACGGCCAGGAAAACTGCAACATCAGCCTTGTGGGCCAAGTGGGGAAATTCCTGAAGAGCAGCCGGCACTCGACACGGGAGTTTAAGTCAATCGAGGCATAAAAAGTGTGCGCTGGAGAAGTGGAAGATTCCTTCTCCACAACCCTGCAACTCTTATTAAGGCAGAGCACAAAGTTTTCCCAAGTTTTTCCAACCAGATGGGCATTTATCAAGAAGCGGACGTTTGCTCAGGAGATCGAAATTTTTTTCAAGTGCTATTCCACACATGACTAACGGAGGCAAGAGTCCTCGAACCCTAAACGAAATGATAAGAACTAGTATGAAGTGTCATATATGTGGGTAAAGTTTCCATACCCTTTCACAGAGTATACTTGGCACAGATATTTGCAACGAAGTACATCCCACGCAGGCGAGTTAGTGACATTTATTTTCCGGT